AAAATCTGTATTTCCACCGTTGCCGGTCTCAAGCCCCAGTGAGAAAGTATGGATGGTTGAAGACAGCGACGATGTCTCCCGCAAATTTTTCCCAGTTGCCTCTCATCGCATTGTCGTTAATACACGTTATACGGGTTGGATGGAGCAGTTATATTCAGTTACGACGTCAAGGGATTCCTTACCAGCTTACGATTTAAAGAAATTTTCGTTGTGGTTGAAAGGAAACTCGAGAAAGACAACGCTGGCAGTTAAATACATTATCGATATCTTGAACATCCGTTCGGTGTTTTTAGAATTTCAGAATCAGTGGCGATTTATACCAACAAACCAAAGCGGCTCCTATGGGATTTCGGTTATCTTCAGTTCTAGCGAAATGCTTTCTTCTTTTTTTATGAACATCTGAAAACACATGCATTCCCACTACCTCTGACAGCAAAATCGATCCCTAGTTGTTCAGAATGTACATCTTCATCTTCCAACGTTCCCGATCCTGTGCCAGAGTCTGAGCTTCGGCGAAAGACAAATGCAGTCTGGAACAGACTTCTTCCATATACTTTATTTGCTCCAGGTTAATCTTGGCCGTCCCCTGGGCCTTTTGCCGGTCAGATTTGCAAGGAATAGTTGCTTAGCCTTTCTTTCTGGAGGCATTTGCAACACATGCCCGAGCCATCGCAACTGTGACTTCTCAATCTGGAGAAGCAAAGGCTGTCAGGATGTACATTGATGACATATTTGTCATCTGTGAAAAAGGTACCGAGACGCCCTTCCTGAATCATATTAACACCTTGTATCCGGGGGGAATTCATATTTCTTGACGGAATTGGAACAAAACAACTCCGTATCTCTCTTGGACACACTTATCATGAGAAAGCAGAAAACGTATGCTATTGTAATGTTTCACAAGCCAACTCATGCTAAAAGATTCCCGCTGTTCAATTCTTACCACGCTTATTCTGTAAAGAAGAACATCGTTAGTACTCTAGTTGGCTTTTATTTGGAACAGAGATCGGACGGGGTGGTACCCAGAAAAACTAGCCTATGTCCAAAGAGCTATCAGAAACAGTGTCTATCCTAGATGATTGACAGAAGAACCAGTCGGCAGTAGAAGAGTAGGAATGATGGATATAAAAGTGCAAAGCTGATTTTCAGCACTAGTATTTTTGTTCCATACATGCCAGATCTAGGCAAGAAGCTGCAAAGGATTGTTCATAAACACGGAATATGGCTAATATTCAAGTCCTAAACAACATAACGGAGCGTCTTTTATGCCGTATTATATATGTTCATATGTTCTATGGCGGTCGAGCAGATTGAGAGAGAAAGAAGTTACCGGTGCATAAACATTAGTTTAAAGCATCAAGCCGTAACTCTGAAGGATCACTTCACAACTATCCTACTTGAATACGGAACCCAGGCTAGGAAAGACCGCCAGTAAGGTGTGTATGAAAAATGCTTTTTTGTATGTATGGCCGAATTGTTACCTGCATAGTCTTTACAAATCCTATCCACCAGACGTTGTAAGAGAATAATTAAGAAAGATTAATTTCTGGGAGCATGCTCTTCCCCTATAATTTTTGCTGCATGGTCTACACCTTGTAAATTTTTAATTGGCATTCAGGCGGGTCCGATTGAAGGGCGCATATCAGACAACGTGGTAGCATTTCTCGAATGTGCAATCATTATCGCGCCAGAATGCCATACTATCTATTATTCGCAGATAACGACTGCTGCCATTCATTTCTCATCTGGTCATGCCAAAGAACAGTGGGGAGCTAAGTTCTCTGCTGAAGGGTATCAGCAGTGAAGAGGAGAAAGTTTGTACGCAGTGCTTGAGGCTTCAACCCATCACTTGTAACGTGCAAAGCGAAATAGTAGCCATTTAGCGTCTCTATCTGTATATAAGAATAATAGAAAGTTCTGCATGTGGTGAACCGCCATCAAATGACCAATTAGTAAGCATTTGTGTTGGCAGAGTTCAGATAGTATAAAATTGTTGAAGGAAATTTTTCGGTTTCAAATGGCTGGGCAATCTTGGCGATTAGTGGTAATTTAATGTATTCGACTGCCCCGTAGTGTACATTGGTTTTTGAGTAAGGTTGTCGTAGAATCTTCAAGCCCATCTGAAAGCTTCCGCTAACATGCCGTACATAAAAGGTCTGATGTCGATAGGGCGAACATTCTACTATCTCGAAAAGGATGACGAATTCTTGCGAAATCAAATCCACATCGAGCTTATGGCCTGTGTCCAACCGCTTTGTTCAGAGATTTCGCTTTCTAGCATTGGCGCCGCTGTAACATGACTCCATGGGTTCAGTTGGTTAAGTAAATAGAAGACTGGCCACCTCAGTATGCGCAGATTTTTCTTGATAGGGTGACTTTTTTTATAGCAATCACCTGCCATGACGCATAATTTGCCATAAGTTGAAAAACTATTGTCAAAATAATTTTGTCTTAATAAGATATTACAATTGTAAAATAATGTCTAGTGCCATATGGATTCACTAGTTTTCAACAGGTTATGATTGCCAATTCATCACTGGCCGAACTTTTCATGAATTTCTCTAGTACACAGCGTCTAATTTACCGTCAAGAGTCTCGCAACATTCATCTACTCACAAAACACAGCAATGAAAGCCTGCTATTGGTCTACGGCAATGTCATGTACATTTCCAGCCTTGTTTTCGAACTGGCTTGCAAAATCTGGTTCAGTTGCAAGACCTTTGGGTTCGTCCTGTTAGCTGACTGGTTGTTTCCATACAGATTGTAAATCGTCCTGATTTCGCCACCGTGCCTTCATTTTGAGTCTCCTTTTATCATATGCCTTTAGAAGTTACTTTTATGCCGCAACAAACTTTTTGATCTAATTCATATCTGTGAATGACAAAGAGATAGTGACAGATGTTGAAAACTATTACCCGCAAGAAATTCGTTACAGAACGCATAAGATCATCGGAAGTTGTTGTCTGTTGAGATCATGACCGTGAGCCTTTTGCATAAATAAAAGGCTCTGATGTGTGATGCCTGCTGCATTCACAGCTTTTCACCACAGAAATCGATTACTGCATTACAGAAGGAAATATTCCTCTCTGAATGCAGACGTCTTCACCCTGTTCCTCCATGTTGCATGCTTGCTTCCTGGTTGACGTCTACCCTGTTTTTGCTGTCACACGAGAAATTCATTAGCTGGAGCAAATAATGTAAGTTCAGCGTCTCAGGACCAATCTCCTTTGCATAGTCTCCATATCTACTGAAGTTGCTTGTGCCCTGAAAAGAATAATCATTCCTTATGTGATTCAGTTATTTAGCCCTTACTATGCATCGAAGCAGTGACTGCTGCAAGCAGTTCAATCGTTCGTTCTTTCTTCTACATTAAAATAATTTTCTCCGTACCGATAAATAATACTGACTTGGCACAGGCGGATTTTCTTGGAAAAAGTAACTCCCTTATCAGCCCAAATATTCAACAGACTGACTATGCCCTTAAAATTGAGTATACGATTTCTCTGCCGAACATCTTGGTTTTTAGGAAGGTGGCAAAGACTGATAATCCTGCGAATTTCGGCAGCACTTATCCCAGCCAGTGCATCTGCAAAATGGAAGGCCAGGAGACTTGTCCATTAGTCCTCCTGTACCCAAATACTTCCGTTGGAAATAATGATGGAACAAGAACTCGCCGTGAAAACCGACGAATTTGACTGTCCAGGCGAGTGATCATGTTTATATAACTTTGGTAAAGCTGAAATTTTAATAATGCATGGTTGCCCAGAAGCTGCTGATCTATTTTTCGACAAAGTAAGTGATTTATAGGATTGTTTTGCTATAATATTGAGGTCAATTATGAACGTCTAAACAGCAGAATCGCAGGTGAATTGTTCTCCCTCTGCGGATCTTGAGTGAAACTTACCACCGTTCTGTAAAACCGCTGTTGCGACGGCAGTCGTAATCATTAAGAAAGTTTTTAAAATATTTCTGTCGAGTCTGATTCTAATTTGCAGTTACTGTCACTCTCCGTTGCTCTGCACATTTTGTTTAATGTAATATGTGAGTTACGAAAAGTACGAATGTTTGTAACCCCTGGACATATTGATCTCCAGTGCAGTGTCATGTTTGTGGGCCATCTGTTGTTGACACGGTGCGGCGTTGACCTCCGTTTCTGTGACATTAGCAAAGAATGTCTCATTTTAAAGGCATAGTCTACAGCTATGTTGCCAGCAAAAAATGCGGTCACCAATTTCTTTCAGATAGGGTCGTAATTTTCTATCATGCAAGGAAGGAAGACGAATGATTAAACCCAGGCTTAAACCCATGACCTTTCGATTCTGAGCGCGAAGATGTACCGATTGTGCAACCGCGATCTAAGAGTATGGAAAACTCAGTTTGGATGGTAGATGTCATGAAATAAGATTATGCCATGTTTTGTGCTTTGAGAGGATGCAATAAACTGTTCGATCCCCTGGCATTATGTGCATAAGCAAATCTTCTGCTTCAACCGGCTACTGCTGATGACTAATCATCACTGCCACCACATCAGCTAGGATGAGCAGAAACTACTTTATCTGTCTTGACATACAAGCTGTTGCTTACAGTTGTTACTCTCTAATAATCCACTGATCTGTTCCTTCTTCTCGTAGTGCTGAATCCATTTCAATCTGCAACCTAACTAATAAAGTTTCATTTTACTGCCTTCAAAAGCATCTGCTGATTGTTACTGTTCATCAGAAGATTCATTTCCACAGTCGTTTACCAGTACAGGGCAGTGTAGAAGTTACGCGTACATTTAAATCGAGAGATTTAGACAAAAATAGCTGCATAAGTGATTCAGCGTAGGCGAATTCCAAAAAAACTAATATAAATGAAAACCGTTGCCTATACGCCTACGCATTCAGAAGCGAGAAACCTTAAGCAGCATCAAATAAACGTGCAAGAACTATGATTTTTTCCAATGTTTTCTTCATTCTTCGCTTCCTCAATGTCCTAACCAGTTGTGGCTGAAAATGTCGGCCTACTTTAGGTTCTTGTAGTGTTCTAACCAGCGAACGCAGTTTATTGCCACGTCGCACTCGGCGTCGACCTTATCGAGCGGGTGACAATTCTCCGGGTAGTATAAAACTCTGAAAATCAGGTACCACAGCACATCGTACGGAAGACTGCTTCAGTTATGACTAACTTGACAGGAATGCCTCTTGATTTCATGACATGAATGTATTCTTTGCACTGAAGTGCAGGAACTCGAAGGTCTTTGTCTCCCAACATGAATAGGGTCGGAGTCACAGTCTAAAATAGGCACGTAATTCATGATAAAAATTATTTTGCTGCTTTGCAAAATGCTAGAGTAACTGGAAAGGAAAAAAATCAAGAAAACGAAAGCTAGTGTAATGACTTCTGTATCTTTGAAAAAACGGCTGTGGAGATTGAATACGAGCCTAATTATAAAATTACACATTTCACTGTTACTCCATTCTAATCACAATTGCTTACAGAGAAATTTAGTCCAATAGAATATATTTAATAGGGTAAATAAATCTGAAATTAAAACTGCTGTAACAGTGAAGCTGACAGGTTCCAACTGTAGATGGATTTATTACCAGTATCTAAATGTGAAAATTTTACTCGCCGCACGTTCGAACATCGGTAGGGACTTCTGATCCTTTTTCACGGTTGGTATCCGAAGCGTTCTTTTCGTAGAAATGTTTTAAAGGCAGACCGTATGTTATCTGTGAAACCCTCATCATCATTTCATCAGCCACCGGTCTATCTGTTATAACAAGTATTGCCACCTAAGAGAAATCTATATCCACTCCTCTGCGTTCAGAGATGAGATAAAAGTTCTCTTACTTTGACTGTCGCTAGCTCTTTACGATGTAGTCGCCGAAGTTGGAATCACTTCTAGCAGAGAGACAATCAAGTACATATAGATCTGTTTAACTATGGTCATCTGCTAGTATACGAATGTAACAGCGTCCATTACGATGTCAGTTATATCC